CGTGGGGGGGGGGGGGGGAAGATGGGAACTCAACCGGAAGAGGCGTGGCTTCTGCCAGAAGAGGTGGGGCCTTTAAATCCCTGGGGTAGCAGCGGCAGCCGGGGGCTCGGGTGGCAATTTAAAGGGCCCAGGGCTCGTCCGCCGCTACCACCCCAGGCCCTTTAACTTGCCGCCGGAGCCCCTCCACTGCTATCCCAGGGCTCTGGCAGCAGGGCTCCGGGATTTAAAGGGCCCGGGGCGGTAGCGGCAGCCAGAGCCCGGGCCCTTTAAATCACCGCCCGAGCCCCCGGCTGCCGCTGCTACCCCAGGGCTCCAGCAGCGGGGCTCAGATGGTAATTTAAAGGGCCCGGGGTTCCCACTGCTGCTACCCCGGGCCCTTTAAATCGCCACCTGAGCCCTGCTGCTGGAGCCCTGGGGTAACGGTGGCGGGGCTCTGGCTGTGATTTAAAGGGCCAGGGGCTCCCAGCTGCTGCTAGTGCAGCGGAGCCCCGGTCCCTTTAAAGCTCTGCCAGAGGCCGGGGCCCCGGGGTAGTGGCAGCAGCCAGGAGCCCCCTCCAATGGTGATTTAAAGTGCCCCAGGCTCTGCTGCGGTAGCAGTAGCTGGAGCCCCAGGTCCTTTAAATCACCCACCGGGGCTCCCAGCCCCGTCTGTAGCTGGTAGCTCGGGGGGTGATTTAAAGGGCCCGGGGCTCCCTGCTGCTGCTACCACCACAGCCCCAGCCCCTTTAAATCCTGATTTAAAGCACCTGGGAATTTAAAGGCCCCACCTCTTCTGGCAGAAGCCACGCCTCTTCCGGTTGAGTTCCCATCCCCACCAGCACCAACAGGACTCTGGAGTACTGGTAAGTCCTTTAAGTTACTTTCACCCCGGCCAAAAGACATGTGACTAATAAGTTAAATACCTTGTTTGTCTTATTAGCCATTAGTTTTAGACCTTTTTATTTTATGTATTTACTGAAAGTGCCCAGAAAGGAGCCAGACTTACAGTGCTGAACAATCAAATCCTCTCTTTATACCCACAAAATATTTCATGGTTTATTGTAGTGGATTGTGTCTTATGTATATGACATTTTATTTATTAATGATTATGATGATTTTGGAAGTTCATTCCTTAATGGAACTATTTTTAACCTAGCACCCATAATCCTATGTTAAGGACAAAAATTCTCTTTCTAAGAGATATAAATTTAATGTGCTTGTCTTTGTTTCTGTTGTTACGAATGGTGATTTTTTGGGCGGGAGGGGACCAATGCTACTAACAATGGCACACATGATTAATTTTACTCATGTAACTATTTAAAGGATAGGAGCTTTTATGATGTCACGTAAGCAAGTGAAGGTGATTAAGACTGACATATTTTCCTAGATCAACTGTTTCCTGAAAGAAACTGGCAAGAGATAAGTTGATGTGTATTTGCGAAGGGAAACAAAATGAAAAAGAGGATAACAGTCATCTTTCACCAAACATGAAAGCTGCTGAACAGTTTGTGTCAATATAGCTAAGCATTCGTCCCTATTTCCTTTATATATCTCAGGAGTTCATAACTCAACTGTAAAAATTCGATCTGAACTGAAACATAACATATTTACTTTGAGGAGAAAAGAGCTACAGACCTACAATTTAAAAATTAAACAAGTAAAAGAAAGATATGAAAATACATTAAGTAAAAATGTAACAAAAATTAGTTATTTTTGTGTTTGTATAATTTGAAAACGACCTCAAAGCTTAAATTTACCAATTTATTTTTTATTTATTAAAAAAATATGTAAGCAGCTGAAATAATGGTGTGCTTTAGTGTATGTATATATATATTTGCTCAGCAATTTATGAAGGATTTTTAATATTCATGTTCACCCTTGATTAACACCCAGATTAGTTGTTAGCCGGATTAATATTCCACTGGTAAAGTTATAGGGCATGATCCTACACCCACTGAAGTTAAGATTTCAATGGAAGTAAGACTAGTTCTATGGTCTCGTAGGTCAAAACACTACAAACTACATGGACCTGATCAGTCTAAATACATAGTTACCCAAATGCCATTGTGATCTTTCAATGAAAGAACCTTTGTTCCATAAAAACATATGAAAGTTTTAGAAGGGAAAAAAAGGTAAAAAGTTAAGATGACATTCATAAATACCAAGACATCTTTTATTTTAGGGTTAGATCATGACATTTTGATCTAGTCCAAAGCAAGGGGCAGTTCATTTTTGCACTTTGCCTGGAGTACTCTGGGAGTGAGATTTTCAGAATCCCCCACCTCGTCTCCCCGCTGCACAGGTGTATACCTAGTGCAGTGTATGCTCCTCAGTGTGCTGGAGGTATTAGTCTCCACTACCTCTCATCCCTTTTTGCCCACCTGCAAAAGCAGGGGATAAAGTGGCTCTGTGGCGCATGCCACCTGCCATGTGCTGGAAACAAATGGTATGGTATACTGAGTGTCTTACATCCCCTTACTCCCTTGCACTGGTATGCAAGATGAGCCACTATCCGGCCTTTCATTTGTTACATTTAAAAAATACATATTGCTGCTTGTTTGCAGCCACATCTCTTTTTGTGCTTACAACAGCAGTAGTTTGCAAGCTGGTGATGGACCTCTTTTGTACTGTTGTACAGGCTGCCTAGGAAAAGCAACACACTAATGATTTTTTGAACAGCATTATACATAAAATGCTACTGGATTTCCTAATCCATTCATGAGACCATCCCAACTTGGCTTTGAACATAATCAAATAATTGTCATGTTTGCAGTGTTGTTATAGTCGTGCTGGTCCCAGGATATTGAGACACAAGATGGGTGAGCAATATTTTGTACTGCTGGTGAGATAGAGAAGCTTTCAAGTTATACAGAGCTCCTCTTAAGGTCATACAGATGAAAGTCACCTGAAGAAGAGCTCTTTGTAGCTCTTTCACCAACAGAAGTTGCTCCAATAAAAGATATTACCTCACCCACCTTGTCTCTCAAATAACGTTCATGATTAGTATTTATTCATTATGGCCATGAGCCAGTACAGTACTTAAGTAAGTACATAACTTTAACCATGTGAGTAATCCCACTGAAATCAATTGGACTACTCACTGGTTTGAAGTTACATACATGATCTAGTGCTTTGCTGGACTAAGGCCTAAAACTATTCCATTTATAACTGAATCATTAAGATAACACTCTATCCCTTCCTTCCCCTCTCCATTCCTCACAAAAAAAAAAAGTTGCCCAGTTGAAGAATAGAGAATCTTCACCATCAAGACCGTGAAATAGGATAGAGTGTTAATTTAAACTTTGAAATCGTTGGGTTGTATCATTTGAGGTCAGAGACTTGTTACTTAAGTAAATGGTTTTGGGTTGTTGCGGTTTTGTTTTGTTTTTGGGGGGGTGTTAGTGTAATGTTCAGGAGTTTTTGGCAAAGTTTGATCATGTTAAACTAAATAACTCTCTTTTTATTGGCAGATACTTTACAGTGCTGAACTATTAGAACAGGGGTTCTCAAACTGGGGGTCGGGACCCTTCAGGGGGTCGCAAGGTTATTACATGGGGGGTCGCGAGCTGTCAATCTCCACCCCAACCCCGCTTTGCCTCCAGCATTTATAATGGTGTTAAATATATTAAAAAGTGTTTTTAATTTATAAGGGGGGGTCGGACTCAGAGGCTTGCTTTGTGAAAGGGGTCACCAGTACAAAAGTTTGAGAACCCCTGTATTAGAATATAAACATAACTGATATTGGAAAAAAAGAATACCTGATCTTCAAGTAACTGATTATAGCCTTGGCTTGATCAACACTGAAGAAATCCAAGCCACCACCTTTTTCTGAATGAGACTCCCCTATTCCAGCCATTGCTCTCCCAAGTTCTTTTATGTTGTCTTCTAGCGTAATATGTTTGGCTGCAATTCAATCCAGAAGAACAAAAACTAAACATAGATGTGACGTATGTTTTCTTGGCACAGTACTGAGAGATTTTTTTAATGTTTGAAAAGTTGCATTTGAAGCCATGTAGAATATTTTTTTAAAAACTGGACAAATTTTATTGCTTATTTCCATTATTCTTATAAACAACAGTAGTCTTAACATTCCTTCACAAAACCATTGATGATCACTTTGTCCTGTAGGGACAAAAGTAGATGACACACAAACTTCTTAGTTGGTAGCTTATTTACTCAGATATTGTCACCATAATTACATGAACAGAGAATCAGGGACATATTCTATTTCAGGTGCATGGTTTGTACAGTTATGAATCTTTTAAAAAATATATATCTGGTACTGCTCATGAACTTGTGATGCTGTCCACTGCAACATGAAGAAGAAATAGAAGAATCAGATGCCACCTGGGGTATTTAGTATTTTTTAAAAATTTTAATCCAGTTACACAGGATTGATTAAATTTGTAAATAAATTAACTTTTTATTAGAATTAAAAGTTTTCATATTAAAAGAGCCAATCTTTTGTAATCATGTAATCAAATTGGGAGGACAGGTTTTCAAAGGCATAAAGGACAGTCAAACAGCCAACTCTCATAAAAAGTCAATGGGAGCTGGGCACCTAACTCCCATTTGTGCTTTCGAAAATCTCCCTCTTAACTGTTTAAGACAGGCCAAAATGTGAGATTTTCATGGCTTCCATTTATACTACTTCTTTCTCCTTGGTATCAAAACTTAATGTGCATTCCCTAATGGGAATAAACGTTACAACAATAAAGTCTTCGGTCAGAGGCGTCAAGTTAAGTCTTTCCAATTGAAATATCTGGTAATATTTGTTTGTTTTGGTTATAGTGGAAAAGGAAGAGATGCAATAATGTGAAAAAGTAAATCTTAGTCCACTAAACTCTGTATAACAAGATATGACTATCCTGGATAAAGACATCTTTCTTTTCAGTTTGGATAGATATTAGTAAAAGATTAGATGCAATTCTCACCACAATGGAAAGAAGATTTGAAAGCACTGGTAGAAGATTAGGATAGCAAATGAAAACATGGGGCATTATATATACACTTTCTTTATGCTATTTTAAATTGTTGATGATGTTTAGGATAGGCTGCATATAGAAGACTATGTTTCCTTAATGGAATTGGATAGATAAGCTATTTACTAATATGGGGTTACCTAGTTAATAGAGGATATGAGTATAGAAAAAAAAGTGTTTCATATGACCTGCTCTCCAAAATAATCCTTGCTATGATCAGTTTTGGGGTCTAATTTTCTTCTCACTCATATCAGCATAAATTAGGAGCAACTCTATTGAGGACATGGATTTTGATGACTAAAACTGGTGTGACATTAGAATTAGGTGCTGAGTGTACTTTCTGAAAAAGTAGTCTGTATTTCCACAACTGTTTTTTCTTAACTGACGACATTACACTAAATTGCCATTACTCTCAGACTACAATTATACCTATCATATTGGGAACCATAGTACCAAAACATCCGCTGTTCTGTCACCATATAAGGTACTTAACTAGACAGTTACTTTATATTTCTACCATTGACTTTGAAAAAGTCCTACCAACACGAGACTAAAATTCAAAAGGTTGTGACGATACCATTGTTTTTATAAACTAGATTTGCAAATTTTCCTCTGTCAATGTTTCATAATTTCTTATAGCAGTGACTGAAACTTTGGTTTGATGAGAAAGAGGCTTTAACATTATTATTTGTATGCAATGTGTGTCATCACCAGGACTACTGTGGACTTGAAGATTTTTAGCAATTTACTTGTTCCTTTATGCTATCATGAATCCAGACTTCAAAGTGGATAAGTACACAACACTGGTGTAATGGCAGGTTTATTTACCATACTACTTTAATTCCCTATGGATCTACTTCTTTGGTTCTTTGTACAGGAAACAAATTTAAAAAAAAAAGTTACAAGATGCTTATGGTGTTTCAGAAATCAAAACCTTGTAAAGTTCACTTCCCGTGCTGAACACAGAGATATCAGAGAATAACCATGGTGGAAAAAGAGGAGTGTAATCTAGATATGCAAAATGGGGTGTGAACAGGAGAGAAGCCACAGGCAGTGGAAAGACTGAATGATAGAATTGGGAATGCCAACAAATGGGGAGTCCCCTAGAAGTAAAGCAAGAAAGAGTGAAGTTGTGGGGTTACAACAACACACGAAGAAGGGACAGAAGTCACACCTGAAAGGGAACTGGAGGCCCTGAGCACTCCGGTGAGGTGCTGGGCACCATAAACTCCCACTGACTTCAGTAGCAGTTGAAGGTGATCAGGAATCTGAAGGGATCAAATCTGGGCACCAAATGCTGTCCATGGCCATATGTTCTACAGCCTTCAATCTTCAAGCTAGATTGCAGTCTGAGACTAGCCCTACTTTGAATTAGCACTCTTCCAATTGAGGCACAACTAACAGATCACCAATCCAAAGTAGTATTACTTACTCAGGCCCTGTTTCAGCATTGTATTTAAGCATGTGCTTAACTTTAAGCACTTGCATAAGTCCAACCACATGCAGCAAACCATTTTAGCACAAGATGAACATTAAAGTTATGTCAAAGTGCTCATTGACTTAAATGGGAATTCAGCACACGCTTAAACTTAAACCCACATGCCAATCTCCCTCCTCCAGCATCTCATTCAGTCTTAGCGTTCACCTCTCCACTCACCTCTTTGCCACGGTCTCTTTGTCCAATCAATCTCTCCTCCCACCTCCCTACATTGGTTATCAGTCCCAGTGTCCTTGCACAGGGAGTCCCAGTCTTCCCCCTAGTTTCCCCCTAGCTTCCAACCCCTGTCTCCTTGCTAACCGGTCTCAATCTCACCCTGCACCCAACTTCCGGTTCTAGTTTCCCTACCCCTCCAATCAGTCTCCAGTTCCAGGCTCCTCTCCCAGGTCCAGCTCATGTCCCCATTGCATTTGAAAAGGCAGCTTTCTTCTCCATGCTCATTCAAAGGGGGGACGGGGAGGGTCACTGAGATCACATGAGACAGACTCCCTAGTTCTCAGATGAGGTGTCTGAACCTGGCATAGCTCATAGCAGAAGAGCGACTACAGGGAAAGTCCTGCTCAGCCCCAGGATGGAGCACGCCCAGTAGAGACAAAATCTTCAGTGAGCTGCTAAAATCTAAAAAAAAATAAAAATAAAAAATATCTCACTGAGCATGTGTAAAAGTTTATAACTTGGCCAAATTTAGGCAGATTTTCACAAGGACAGAAAAAGAAACATCCCTGATACACAGGCCACCCTCCTCCCTAATTTCAAGTCCCTGCTCCAAAGCATGAGATGCTACATCGCTTAAAAGAGGGAAAAAAAGGTCACCAGGATATTTTAGCATGGGCAAAACAATGTATTCTTCCACATCCTCATTGAAACAGCTGAAGTGTTTCCAAAAAAAATTCAGCCTGAGGCAGAAACCTGGCATGGAAAATTTCAGCCCAAAGTTTTAAGCAACTGAAAATAGGGTTTTATAATGGGAAATGTCAGGCAACCCTAACAACAGGCAGCACTACTACTACTATATATATATATATTAAAAAAATACTATAGGCAGGACTGCCTGTATGTGTGTGTGTGTGTATGTGTATATATGTGTGTGTATGTGTATGTGTGTGTATATATATTACACACACACACACACACACGGGAAAACTCATTTCTGATATGCTTCCATTCTTCTCCATAGTTTCGTTAGTACAGTTAATTCATATTAAGGTATTTGTGTAGTGAACCCTCTGCAGCAAGACAACTGGAATTCCTAACAATTATTTTCCTAACCACAAAGTATACGTACATTCTAGCAAAATTCCTAATTAATTCTATTTAAGGACCTTTTGCAAGGTAATAATATGGTAAAAAGTTATGTGTTTCATTTTTGAAAAATTCACCTATTCTGTTCTGAAGGAATCAAAGTTTAACTGTAGCCAAGAGTTATATCCAAAATACAATGCACACAGCATGTTGATACTCAGGGAGAAAATGAATAATTTAATATTTATTTCTAATTAAAAATAACCACTTACATTAAAATCAATTTAGAGAACATGCTAAGTTTCTGTTCAAGTGAATATTTTAAGAATTATACTTACTGCTAAGGTTCTCCAACAGAAAGTTTAAGATGGCCATGAATCCTGAGAGTTGTAGATGAGTGAAGTCCATCTCTTTAGCCCACCAAAATCCCGACACATAATAATCTAGTAAAACAGCTTCCTTCAAAGATGTCTTAATTTGTCTGAAATTCAGAAACTCTTCCAGTTTTCTGTGGTAGAAAGGTGAAGTATAAAATCAAGTGAGAGGTTCCATACGTTTGATTTAGTCTGCCAGCAATCATGTGTGTACTCCTGGCATCTGATTCAGCTATATCAGCTATATCATTCAATACATTAATGCTGTTCACAGGACAAATCAGTAAATAGCAACATTCTTCATGTTTCCCCAAGCAATGTTTAAGTATATTAAAATACGAGTTATGATGATACTACATTTAAGTGTAAGTTATGAAGAAAAAAATGGTATGATGACTTCATCTGTATATCAATGGGTGCACTTGGCATATTTTTACTGATCAAGGGTATCCCTTCTTGTATCTTTAGGGTGAGATGTGGAACCACAAAGCCAAAAGTCTTCTATGTAACAAACATGTAACAGATATAAAGATCTAAAATTCACAAATCACTGAGTGAAATGAAGCTGAAAATCCAAGAGAAAAATCAGCTTTTATTTTCTTGGGAAGTTTTAGGGTGAAATGAGACTAGAAAGGAAAAATAACATGAACCCTGTCTTCACATACACTTATAAAAGTAAGCTTCATTGCAACTCCGCTTTCTACAAAAAGGTCCTAGCTGCAGCTCCATCTGGGAGCAAAGTTAAGGTTGCTGTCACAACACTATGACTCAAACAGCATGATAACATGACACTTGCTTTTATAATAATGATAATGAACATAATACTCACTGGTGACGATAATTGATTTTACTATGTTGTACTAAGAAATCTGTCTGGAACACTCAAACACAAATGGGTCATGTACACAGTGTTAAGATATAAATTAGGTTTAGGCTAGAGGATTGGGTTTGAGGCCAAATCAGAACTAGGGTTTAGGCTCAGAATGGATGGTGACAAAATCCCACAAGTCATTCTTGTGCAATTTCAGCATCAAATGGCAGAATTCTCATAGCACCATTTATTGTTGCAATATTTCCTAGGGTATCTGTGGTAAGCCACAGCCATTCATGCACTGACTCCTACCATGTCCCAACAATGCAATTTCAATGGCGCCTGCTCATAGGGCCTCCCCTTGACTGCAACAGCCCCCATGGCCCATCAGATGACATAGAATAGAGAAAACATTCTAGGCTGTATTTTTTGTCAATATAATGTCATTTTCCGTATTCTTTTCCTTAGTATGTTTAATATAACCAAGCATCCTATTTGCCTTTTAATTGGAGCTGTACTGAGTAGGCATCGTCACTGAATTAACTCCTCTTAAGTCTCTTTTCTCAGCGGTTCCTGCAAATTCATCAGCACAAAATGTCTTCACCCATGCTTACATTTTTTCAAAATTTAGTTTCGTCTGGAATGAAGTTGTTTAATATTCAACATGTTTAAATCCATCTGGGGTTTGTCACAATCCTCCAAATCTTTACTAATCAACTGCATAGTGCCATAAGCAACTTTCACCAACTGACTGTACACTTCCTCAGTCGTCCTATTATTGATTCCTGGGGACCTCCTTACTATTTATCCCTCTCATTATGACTCTTTATTTCTCACTGCTACACAAGTTTTTAACTGATAATAAGACTTTGCTCCTTATCTCAGGCTATTCATGTTATTTAATGTTCCCTTACGAACAAACCTTACATTATATCTGAAACTCCAGCTAAATAATATTGGGTAAAATTATCAAAAGTGCCTAAGTGATTTAGTAGCATAAGTTTAATTTTCAAAAGTGATTTGGGCACTTAGGAGCCTAAGTCTCCTTGAAAGTCAATAGGGCTTAGACTCCTAAGTCACTTAGGTGCATTTGAAAAATTCTCATAATCTTTATTTTTTCTAAATAACTAAGTTTAGAAAGGAGCAAATTCTCCTTAGAAAAGCCATGCTTTTTTTGACCATATTCAATTATGCCTTTTATATTCAAATGCAGAATTAGTACTATCCTTTTTTCTTTTCTTTATTTTTCTACATTAATGTAATGGATTAGAGGGGGACAGGGTTGGGGACTTCAGTTTGTAATTCTGCCAATGTATCTCAACTGTATTTTAGAGAAAATAGGCTAGCTTCTATGTTCTCTCAGTCCTTGACCTCTCAATTAAGATGGCTAGTAAAGGTGCCAACCATGATAATTGTTTTTACTTCCCTAAAAAATCTGAATATTTTTCTCTGCTTATTATTCCCTCCTAAAAAAACAAAGTACTATCAGATATATGAATAGGCAACTAACTGTTTGTTCACGGTGTTCACAAAGCCGGAAAGTTAAATTGTAGAAGGATACAAAAAAAAAAAAAAGAAGGTGTTTTATAAATCAAAGGCTCACTAGTGAACAATATAAAGAACATAATTCATTAAGTTTTGTTTAAACCATTACCTCTGTTCTACATGATGAATTTGTGTAGCTGTACATATACTAGTCAGTTAAAAACACTTAGTCATGTACTGAAATGGAAGTGGAGTGTAGCCAACTATGAACTTTCCAGAGTTTGAAACAGCCCATATCCTCTTTCTTGTAATCTTTTGCCAACATTATGCTTTCACAATCAGTATTTCAAAGGAATTAGTTTTTTTCGGATATTCATTTTTTCAACGTTTTCTTTATATATCTTCCATTACACCTCTACCCCGATATAACACTGTCCTCGGGAGCCAAAAAATCTTACCGCGTTATAGGTGAAACCACATTATATTGAACTTGCTTTGATCCGCCGGAGTGCGCTGCTTTACCGCATTATATCCGAATCCGTGTTATATCGGGTCGCATTATATAGGGGTAGAGGTGTATTACTATTGCTATTTTTTTTGTGGAAGATGCTCAGGTACTATGGTGGTGGGCAGCAATATAAAATCTTTCGCTCAAGATAGAACAAGAAAATTGCTATAACATATCAGACTCACAGTCCATCTAGCACAACAGTGGCCAGGAAACTTTACAGTATATAAAAATGATGCCCTATGGTGAGACACAGATGTTTCAATACTGGTACTAAATTGTTTGTGCTACCTAAAATGCCCTTGAAGCATCCTCTTTTCAGTCAAATGCAGTACGTCATAATTTAAGATCCATCTGTGAAAGTGTGTGTGTGTGTGGATATATATATCAGTTGAGATGAAGAGAAACACAAAGGTCTCAGTATTTTCCTTTCTAATCTTAGATGAGAGATTTTGACAAGAAATTGTGTTACAGGGTGATAATGAAATTTGGTCTCAATAGATGTGAATGTTTCATTCTCTAATGCTACAAGTAGAAGATCTATTGTGCAGGGTAAAAGAGTAAATGGAAAAAAAATCTTTTGAATATTAGATGGGGAAAAAATGTCTTTCCAGTTTCTCTATGGAATCCCACTAGGTCAACAATAAGTGATCTTTTTTCTAACAAGAAAGAGAGAGTATTTCAAGGTAATGAATCATATCTTTTTAATCTTACCTAAAACATTTGTATTTATCCACTAACGGCAGAATTTTCAAAAGTACCTAAGTAACTTTAGAGCATAAGTTCCATTGACTTCAGCGTGCTAAGAACTTACTACTAGGTGACTTTTCAATGGGACGTGTGCGCCTCAGTCACATAGGTACTTTTGAAAATGTCACCCCTGAAACTTAAGGCCAATACATTCAATTGTGGATGCCTAAAGTTTGACTCCTAAATCCTTAAGAACTTAGATACCTTCATATGAAGCTTTTTGCCACTTTCCTAAGGGTCAGTTTTCATTATATCCAAATTCCTTTATTTTTTCAGCTTTAGACATTAATCTGAAACGTAAAAATGTTGTCTAAGACACTTGAGGAGGCAGTTTAAAGTGCTCAGTTTTGCCTTACTCTATTCACGTTGAAGTCAATGGGAGCTTTACCATTATCTACAATGGGAGTAGTTAGCCCAACACACTGAACACTTTTGAAACAAATCACACCTGGTATATATTTAAAATCTCAAATACCCAAAAACATGTCAACTGCAATATCCATATAAAGACAGTGAGCAAAGGAGAAAGAAAAATGAAAAGATGGAGAGAATATAGGAGGAGAGTACATTCTGAGACCAACATATTTTCTTATTTACTCTATTATTGCCATTGTCCACAAGTGTCCCAAAAATTGGATTAAATCATCATTCACTTAGCATACAAGTCTTCAAAAAATGCCATTTGCCCATATACATAAATAAATATTGCAGTGCTGGTGTAGTTAATTTAACCAGCTATATTAAAATAATTGTCTTGCACAGAAAACTAGTATTATTCATTTCTTTTGCAAATGAGATTTTTAATTTCAATAAAGTCATGAATTGTATCATAGTGAAAGTTCGAGGTAGTAATAAGTTCACTACTTTCCACCACCTCCAGAATTTGACTTAACATAAGTCTTTTATAAAGGCAAGACCACACCAAACGATCAATATCACAGTTGTCACTCTTGATATCTTCAACAAAAACAGCTGACGGATAAATCACACAAGTCCTCTTTCACCAAGACACAAGCACCAGCATTATCTATATTTGTTATATATTATAGTTACTTACTTTTGAACCCCTTCTATATTTTGTTCTGACAAAGCACTAATTTGGGGAAGAGAAAGAAACTTCCATGTCATAATCTCTCTAGCTACAGTATCTTGTTCTTGACCTTCTTCCTATACAAAAACAGTAGATTGTATTAAAAAAAAAATCCATCTAATTTATATAACACTTTTGATCTCAAAAAACTTTACAGAATGTACGTACAAAGATAATTCATCCAACACCAAAACAGAAATGCAGCAGTAATTTTCTGCCAGCAACACAAGACAGTAACGGTGTTTAGGGATGGAGGTGAAGTTAGGTGGATACATGAAAAATAACTTGTTCACCCACCTTAAACTAAAGGGGAACTTATACTTTTACAGACAGACACTGTTCTACCATTCTATTTGCTCTTACCCAGAAAAACAAATGCTTGGCTTTTCCCTATTCATCTCAGTGGGGTGTTAACCACTAAACCCATTTTTGACAATTTAATACTGTGCAATTAAAATAAATACATGATTTTCTAATAATCTAACAATAAAAAAATAGAAAATGTATACTGTGATCTAAATTATGTAACTACTTTTCCCAGGAAAATGTATACTCATAATGCTGAGAGTAATTGTTCCCCTGTGGTGCGTATAAGAAATACGCATTCAGAAATATTACAAAGCGGGATATGTGGTTGATAGTGGATGATAAACTGAACATGAATTAACAATGCAATGGTCTTCTAAGTCAAGGGAAATACTTGACTGGATTATATAATTGACTTCAGTGGGAAAATTTAGAAAGTCAATCAGTAGGCAAATAAAAATGTGTTATTAGAATAGTTAGGTAATGAAACAAAATGTCAAGAAAAGTTATGAAATCACTGTCAGTGACTGACACTTATCTATTGGCTAGTCTACACTACTAAAATGTCCTCTTGGTGATAATGAATGCCAGCAATTGGTGCAGATGAACTTGTGATGAACAGTTCATACACAAGCTTAGACAAGCTCAAACTATGTTCAGCACCATTTCACTAACTGTGATTCAGCCTTGCTGTGAAGATTCAAAGCACTTTAAAATGGAAGCTATATCATTACGAAGTTTTAAAATGGAATTGCTGTGCAAAATGAATATCTATCAACTAATAGTTTTTGGATATTTCTGTACTGAAGCAAAAGAAAGTGCTAGTAGCACTAAGATATCATGAATTGTATACATTTTTATACTCCTAGGATTCAATCATATACCACTGAAGTCTATAATAACTTTTTCATTGATTTGAATGAGGTGGGACTAAGCTCTTGAAATAAGGTTCGTGCTCGGTTGCACACACAGAGAAATGGAAGGGGGCCTCCACAACCTTGAAGATGGTGTAACTGGGCAGCTGATTATGACGCAGAAAACAGGACTGCAAGAAGCAATGAGTATCAGAGATCTACTGAACACACTAATATTTGCTGGTTAAGAATTAGGCTCTTACCTTTTCATTTTATAGTCTCCAACTATAACAATATTGACCTAAAGTACAGTGTTTCAAGACAGTTCAACAGCATGAAAGCAATGAAGAAAATAAAAACTTCCCTCCGACACAAGTAATATGTGATTGCTTCTATTTTTAATGGTAATAAAGCATTTATTATGAAAAAAACTGTTAGTAACATTATGATATAGACTACAATATATTGTGAGATTGCTACATGCAGCCACAAACAAGTAGCTCAATATCCTAACATTTTACAAATACTGAAAATAAACTCTTGCTTCATTAGAAACAATACTAAAGAGTTCATGAAGTTACTACCAGTGTCACAGGCCAGCATAACCCTTCAATTCATTTGCAACAATGATAGCAATGCTGAAAGAATGGCTGCTTCCTGCATTTCTGAAATGTAGTTTAATATAGGACCATTTCTCTCTCTCAGAGAAACAAACATGTAGGGTACTGTAATATGTACATTTACACAATTTTTATAAAGTAAATATTTAAATATGATTTTACATCTTTAATATTTAAATCATATAATATACTATAACTGACATCTGTGGCCTAAACCTAATGTGAACCTAAAATAAATTAACTAAACATGGCAACTAGGTTCCAAAGTCTGAAAATGGCTCTTCAAATTCTGTGTGTGTATACATGTAACGGGTGCAAGCTACATTTGTAACCCGGGCTTTGGAGCAGAGCCCGAAGCTGAAGCGCGGAGTAGTGGAGCTGCAGGTTTTTCCCCGGAGCTGGAGCAGAGCCGGAGCACAGAAAATCTTGACTGCTACAGTTTTTTTTTTTCCATTTTCAATCCAAAATGAATGATATTTAGCAAGAAAGTCCTAAAGGTGCCAAAAAGTTTCAGACTGTATAACAACAGATATTAACATCTACTTTACCACTTTACTAATATGTCACAGTTAGTCTCACTTTGGCTGAAATCAAGATTTAATGTACAGATACAAAATTACAAAGTTTTTTGGATATATGTTTTATTAAAGAATCAGATAATTATCAGACATCCGGCAAGACTGCAGACTGCTCCCACCCTTGTGCCAAGGTTAGGCAAGTAGGTACTCATGTGGATTAGTTAGATAAGTATGTGTTGATACTTCTTTTGTAAGGGTTGATCAACGAGATGCGCTGAGTGCTCCGATTATGGGAAAGTGTGACACAAGACGCAACATTTAAGGTATCACAAACAGGAATATTGCAAAAAAAAAAAATAATGTTTTTGTTTACTGATATATTAAGATATTGCAAGAGATATTAACCACTTAAGCTCATTTCTCACACGGGCTTCCATTACCGGTACATTTGTTCATTTGTACATGCTCCCGTATCAATCTGGCAGACTTATTTTATATGTCATCTGTTCAACGGTCTTTTGGTAACGTTGTTTGTAATTTTAAATTTACTGAAAAAGTCACATGCAGCAGGCAAATAAATATACAGTAAACATTTTTGCATAAATTAGGAGTGATTTTTGTGATATATCCAAAGTGATTGGAAAATGTCCAACACAACTTTGGGGATGAATCCTTAGGTCATTTTAAGAAATAACGTTTCTGTGAACACGTGTCCTAAAATTCTTCCTAAGGGAGCTACAGTCCCTCCAAGGAGGTGACGAAAAGTTAATTTCTGATTAATATCTCAAAAACGCTTTAATATAAAGTAATGAAATTATGTCCATGTCTTAGCGTTAGTATGTGCTACTATATTACATTATCCAAAATTATTTAAACCATAGGCATCCCGAACTGGCGGTTGGTCATTTTTATTTCATATTTCAAGAAAGGCTTGTCGTCGACTGCCCCGGCTATGAGTGGTAATATTATGTTCGTTAATAATTTTTGGTTATTATTTATTATTAAGTTTAAAATGTATGGTTCCAAATTTGAAAAATAAGTAATAAGTAAAGTTGTTTGTATCATTCTAAGCATCTAAGCAGATTAAAATTTTTAAAGTTTTCTTGGAAACTGTTAATTATACAAAATAAATTAAGAGTACCATTTTAATGCATGTTTTAGCATTAAATCATATTCCAGGTTGTATCTGTTAAATAGTTGAAGATTTAAAAAATATTAAATAAAATTGGCCCAGTCTCCCCAGTTCACGACGCCTGTAGTTTAATTAATTTTATTTGAATGATGTTGTATGATAGAACGTTGGAAATAAACTTTAACGGGAAAGCGGATTCAAATTGCAAGCACAGTCCTTTTAGTAAAGAGAGCAAATTTTGCTCTCTTTACTAAAAGGATTGTGCTTGCAATTTGAATCCGCTTTCCCGTTTATTTTCAACCTTGTAATGTGTAGCCTCGTTACTTCCCAACAATTAATGTTGTAGGACAGTGATAGTATGTACTAACGCTACGGCACATACCAAAATTCTTTGATATATCTATATAAAAGCGTTTTTGAGATATTAATTAAAAACTTGGAAAATATTTCAAATACTTTTACCGCAAAATTTCATAAGAAAAACTAATTTGCAATTTATAAATAAAAATTATGTATATTAAAAATACTTCTTACTTCATTAAAACTGTAAGAAACATGTTAAAATATTAAAAAATACTTTAATAATTTTGTGTAAAAAGAAAATGCAATCATTTTTGTCCAGAAAATCCAAAATAAATTCTGAGTACCTTAAGTGGTTAAAATATCACAAGCAGGTACATTATAAAAAAAAAGTGATGCTTTTGTTTATGGCTTTTTGAAGATCAAAACAAGAAACATTTGGATGCGGTAGCAGCACAAGAAGATTTGGCCATGGCTTCAACAAAAAAATCAAATCTGTCCCCCATGATTGATAGCCGATTTACGGAAAAGGATCTCAACGACATCTTTACTTTTGAATTTGAAAAGCCCAAACTTGGGGAAAAGCAAAGAAGAAATCGGCAACGTGCAAGGTGGAAAAGGAAGCGAATGGCGAGCTCAAACCATGTAGCTTCAGGACAAGTGAAGCAAGTGCCGTGAAAAGTTTCAACCTTTGGCGGCATGGAAAACGTAACCATCCTGAAAACTATGCGGCTCTAGTTACAAAAAAGGAGCAGGAAGATGAGGCAAAACAGAAAGCTGACGCGGCTAAACGACGTTCATCTGGCTCTTTAAAAACTCCTAGAGAAAAGATTTTTTGTGGAGCTTCATCTGAAAAGAAACTCAAAATTGAGCAACAAAACTTGACTCATACTTGAAGTCCTCAAAGATTACAGTCACCATGGATGCCAATACTTTCCATGAAGGGCTGATGGAAATGGCTTGCTTGAGTTCAACACCACTCATTACCTTCAGGCTAAAGAACAAAGAATTCCAAAAAGTTGCAGGTGAAATGGGTCGGCAGCTTGGCGTTTCAATGGGGCATGATGCGGTTCGTCATTTAGTTCTCAGCACAGCTGAGTCTGGTCGTGAAGAGCTCAAGAAAGCTTTGGAGCAAAAATTGTGCTACCTGAAAATGGATGCGGCAACCCGTGGAAACAGAGATTTCCTTGCAATCAATGCTCAGTAGTACGAAGAAGGAAAAGATAAAGCTGTGGTAAAAACCTTGGACATAATTGACACTGAAGGGCATCACAATTCTTCGTATGTGAAAAGTCAAGTAAAAGCTATTTTAGAAAAATTTGGGATCAGTGAAATGCAAGTGCTGAG